TATATATACTTTTTCTTTTATAAAACTTTTGTGGAGGGGGGCAGGGTGGGGGCAGTGGGTGGCCTGGCCTCCCAGTGTCACTCGTCATCAAAGTTCTGACTCAGGAGGAAGTTGGCAGCCAGGTTCTCGTTCTTTTCACATGCAAAGTAGGCCTGGATCACCAGGCTCTCAGGGAAGCCCAGGGCCTTCAACTGTAGGGAGACGCAGGGGGAAGGGGCTGGGGTTAGGTGAAGGTTGCTGGGCAGGGTGACCCCAGCCCCAGCCAGCCACCCACCCTCTCTGCTTACCCTCTCAATAGCTTCCTTCTCCTGCGGTGTCACCTGGATGTAGTTCATCTGTGGGGCGTCCTCACCTATGGCGCCCACCTCCCCCTCTGCGTCGGAGATGTCTGCCAGCTCCCCAGGGGGCTCGTTCAACATCTGGATGAACTGCTCCTGGTGACGGCTAATTTGCTGTGGGAAACGGGTGATGGAGAGGCCTGGCCTCGGTGCCCCCTCCTGCAGTTCCCCCCATAACCCTTGCTTTTTCAGTCAGTGGACACAGAGCAACACGGTGGGGATGAGCCCTGTCCTGGGCTGCGAGGCAGGCTTCTAGTGAGCAACTACAACGAGCAGACAACAGCACAGCTAAGGCTTGGGAAGTAACAGGGGCCTTGTGGCACATGGAAGGCACGAGCAGGAAATGCACAGGCCCTGGGGTGGGTGCATCCAGCCAAGTCTCAGCCTCGGAAGACCCACGTGGAAGGACACGGAAGTGAAATGAGAGAAGCTGGGGCCAGGCACTTTCTTCCTTGGCAACGGGAAGCCACAGCGGTGACAGTTCAACAGGGAAAACAAGATCTGAGAACTTCTAATTATTTATTTTTTAGCAGGAAAGTTTATTGAAAAAGTAAAAGTGAAGACTGAGTGAGAAACTGGCTCTGCAGAACAAGCTTGGGCCAAACAAAAGAGGAAAAAGCAAGATAAAAGAACACCCTCGAGAGAGCAGGGTGGCCCATAAGAGAGCCACGATAGCCAAGATCTGGGAACTTTTTAACTTTTAATTTTTTTTTTTTTGGTGGGGGAGACAGGACCTCACTATGTAGTTTAAGATGCCCTTGAACTACATAGGCCAGACTGGCCTTCAGCATGCAGCAATCCTCCAGCCTCAGCCTCCTCACTGATGGGTTTACAGCATCCAGCTTGGGAACCTTTTGGTCTTGGGATGGAGCCTGGGGCCCTTGACAAGCTCAGCAAGCGCTCACTGCTGAGCTGCACTCTTGCTGTGTGTCCTTTCCAGACTCACTTATCCGAGTGTTGGAAGTCTCAAGATTCTGGTGCAACTGTACTCTTTATACATCTGACAGTTTCATAGTAAAGAAAAAGTGCTTCTTCAGAATCTGAGATCTAGTGAACAAAGGACCAGGGTAGCTGTGGAATTAGAGCCACTGAAAGGTGCCAGTAAAAGACAAGGTTGACGGCCATTGGAGGTAGGGGTGGGGGCAGGGGTGAGGGCTGGGGCAGGACTGATGGCCCCAGAAGAAGTCAGCATGGGGAGAGCCTGTCCTGTCTCAGAAGTCTGAAAAGTACTACATGTATACATCAAGTCAGCCAAGGGGAAGGGTGGCATGCAGAAGTCTGGGTTGGTTACACAGACGCAGGGTCACCACAGACTAAAGGCCCCAGGACAGCACCAGGAGGACTGCACAAAGTACAGGTGACCCGGGCAGTGGCACAGGTCTATAATCCCAGCACTCGGGAAGCTGAGGCAGGAAGATCTCAGAGTTCAATGCCCAGGCCTGGGCTACACAGGCAGTTCAGGGGCAGCCTGGACTACCAGGGAAACCCTGTCTCAAAAATACCCAAAAGAGGGCTGGGGATTTACCTCAGTGGTGCTGCTGCCTGCCTCACAGGTGCAAGGTCCTGAGCTCAATCCCCAGTACCAAAAACCCAAAACAAAAAGAATAAAAATACCCAAAAGAAAACAAGAAAGGAATAAAAGCCTGTACCAGGGACTAAGAAGCAGGGGAGGAGCAGAAGCTGGCAGGTCCTGAGCCACTTCACAAAGGACTCAGAGGAACCTGCTGTGCTGCTCAGCCCACACACATTCCACCAGCAAGTTGGTCAGTAGGCAACAGGAATGGGAGTGGAGGCTGTCCTTAGCCCTGCAGTCCCGGTGAAGTGACCCCTCCACCATAGGCTGTGGCACCTACCCCACTCCCCTTGCCCGGGCCGCACCTGCAACAGCTGAGGATTCTCCTGGCCCAGCTGCTGGAGCAGGGCGGGCAGCAGTGCTGGGTTCTGTTGGATCACCTGCCGCATGTTCTGAAACTGGGGCTGATCCCGAAGAAACTCCAAGGGGTTTTCTCCTGCCAGCAGCAGGAAGAGGTGGTCAAAAACTGCCTAAGGACCCAGGGCCTGGCCCCAGGAGATGTCCCATGAGCACACTGCCTAGCCCGCCCACCTGCTTCTGTGGCTGGCTGCTCAGACGCCTGGCTCTCCTGGACGGAACCGTGTTCAGGCTCAGGGCTTCCCGGAATTCCCTGTCAGAAATCCTTTTTAGTTCCCCCATACAGACCTCCAGCTACCTTGTCCACCACGGGCCACCCACCACTCCCACCCCACCTCCCAAGTGAAACCTTCAGTGACAACAACCACTACCCAGGGCTTCTCGGCAGCTCCTGCCTCTCTGGCATGCTGCCCCAGGAGGTGGTAGTCCCACCTCACCGTGAGCAGATACTCCACAGCCCGGTGCGGGTTGTTGTAGCTGGCTCTCAGGGCAGCCACGACGCGTTCCCGCTCATAGCCCATGGACATGATCTCCATCAGCATCGTCTCATACTCAGAGCCAGTCACTATGGAGGGAGCATCAGGACCTGGGTCACCAAGGACAGGGCAGGGCAGCACCCACACCTTCCCACACCCAGATGATGGCCAGGTGCCCAGTCACCTCTGCCTTGGGGACCACCCACCCACCTAGTGTGGAGGCCGCATCTTCCTCTCGCCCGCTGCAACCTGAAGAGGGAACAGAGCTGCAAATTCAAGAGAGAGAAATCGGACCCTGGCTTCTGGTGGCCTGCCCTCCCCCAAGATGTTCAGGATCACACAGGTGGGCACTAAAGGTTTGGGGAGGACAGAGCCCTAGGAGGGAATGCTGCCCCTGACTTACCCTGACACCGACTCTGGTGATGTTGTGGGAGCCGACTCCTGCGATGGACTCTTGTCCTCTCTGGTGGCAGGTGGTGGATGGGACATGCCTGAAGCAGGGGCCAGCTGCAAGGGTGTGGATGGCTCTGGGGCAGCAGTGGGTGAGACCTCTGGGGGTGCTAAGGTACCCTGGCCAGCTTTAGCCTATGAAAGAGAAAAGGGAGCTGGCATCAGCACTCCTATCAAGCCCCAACATCCTGCCCCGACATGGCCCTGCCCTGTTTTCAGCTAATCTCTCCTGGGCACACAGGCTCTTTGCCAGCTCCCTGACTAGTCACCCACCTTGGTCACCATGACAACCACGAAGTTCTTCTCATCAATACGATAGTCCCTGATGGGAACATCGTCACTCAAGATCTTGCCAGCATAGATGAGCTTCTGTCCAGCCACTGGGAAAGCATCACGGCCCTTCTCAGCTTCTATCTTCTCCTTCAACACCTTCACCTGGAAGGATCCGGACAGCCACTGTGAACCCCAAGAGTCTTATCTTCCCAGGGGTGGGATTTAGCTCAATGGTCTGCCACCTGCCTTGCAAGGGCAAGGACCCAAGTTCGATCCCCGGTACCAAAAA